GCAGGGAGCCCGATGCGGGGCTCGATCCCAGGACCCTGGGATCATGACCTGAGCCAAAGGCAGACGCTTAACCAACTGAGCCACCCAGGCGCCCCTAGAGCTTGTTTCTTAACTTCTATTCTTCACAGCATCCCGATCTAAAACAAAGGTGAGAGTACCCTTCCTGGCCACCTTATGGAGTTTTGAAAATTGAAGAGATAATATGTATAAAAGTCTGAACACTCTTCCCTACAATGCTGCAGAGTACAAGACAAGCATTGAACGTATTAGTACTGCAAAGCCATTTGTGTATTATCACACCTGTATTGCTCAGGGAAAGATGCTTAAAAAATAATATCCAGACCCTAAGATCAGCACAAGAGAGACTGTGTTGACATTAATAAAAACTTAGATTAAACAAAACCATTTCCTTGTCTTAATCCAAACTTCCAGGTGGCCAGGATTCATGCACCCTTGAGTCCCTCTATGGGGCATTCACTGTATTCAGTGTGCTCATGGGACATTTAAAGCTTCTTCATATGTCCATATTTTAGACATTGACTTTGGAGATTAAGCTAGTAGTTCTCTTCAACCCCAGCCAGTAAGTTAATAGGAAAATACTCCAGGCTTTTTAGGATTTCTTAGGGTTGTAATAATTGTCCTTTATCTATAATCTCTTTGTGGTCTCACAAAACATATTTTCATTTTCAGAATTACCCACCAGATTTCCATGGCGTAATGTGGAATGTCCCAAAAGTATGCCTTCTTTTTTTAAGTAGGCTCCACATGGGGTTTGAACTCACGACACTGAGATCAAGACCTGAGCTGAGATTAAGAGTCTGATGCTCAACCACTCAACTGAGTCACCCTGGTGCCTCAACAAATATGCATTTTAAATAGACACTTTTGGAGAGAGTAGTATGAAATATGTCATATTATATCTTAACTCATTTTTGAGTCATGAAACATTTGCAAAATGCTTAGATCCCTGTGAAATAAATCAATGTGTCCTATGTGACTGATTCAGGTACTAAGTGTAGAAATTCTGACTTGGAACTCTGTGTAAAATTAAAGTCCCAGTCATGTTTTTAAAACATTAAGACTTGGGTGATAGAAAGCAAAACTACGAGTGTTTCAGAGGAAAGTCACCATCTTTGAAGATCATTCTTTTGAAACCAGAATTTAAATTTTTCTCACTAAAAATTGAAAGCAAGTCTATCCTATGAAAATAGAAAATAAGTATATGCAATTCCAAAGCCACAAGCTTGAAAATATATGCCAGGGGGGAAAAAAGGTTGTTTCTGTTTTATTACAGATTCTTAGGTTGGGTGTAATCAACATTTGTTTTATTGACACTTTTGCAATTTAATTGCTGCTATAGTCACTCTCTAAAGAAAAAGCAATTGGTCCTCTGTATATTAAAATAGCTAATCTACATCCCAGCTTTGTCATCCTTTCTTGCCAATAAGCTTAAAACCATTTCTCCCTAAAGGAGCGTTTGCATACTCATGGTATGTAAAATACGGGAATTAGTATATAGAGCTATAATTGAGGAAAAATATTACTTTGCCCTCTGTCTTTGGAAGGGCCCCATTTGAGTGTAACTTACATTATTCTCTAGCATTATCCCCAATCACCCTCTGTGCCATCTGGAAAGTAGGAAGCCCTGCTTTTCAATATGTGTACTGATGAATGGAGTTTCTTGGAAATTATCACAGTCTCAGATAATTAAAGGGAGCCCCTCTTAGCCCCTTTGCTCATCTAAAAAGCAGAGCTTAGTTGTAAATTCTAGGACTGAAGTGGCTCTTTATGACACTCACAGGCACATGCTACCTAGCCCCTATGTCCTACCAACGATGGGACAAAATGGCCCACCCAGGTATAAAATGAGAAATCAGAGATATGAGAGAATTCTGATCTTCTTTTAGGTCTTGAGAGAGTAATTAGGCCATCTACACATTTAAGGAGGCAAGAGATCTAGATTTAGACCTGCAGAACTGGAGGGAAGCTTAAAGCTTAGAGTCCAACTCATGTTAAACAAAAACTGAGGCTCCACGAAATTAGGTGGCCTGCTCAAGACCATAGAGAGAATATCTAATGTTGGTGGCTTTCAGGTAACGATTAATATTTCCTATCTTGGAGACTCTACTGACAAGTTTCCATAAAGGAGGAAAAACATTCTATTAGAAACCCATCAAAACCAAGCAACCAGCCAACCAGCCAACCAACCAACCCACCCACCCACCAACCAACCAACCAATCTGCCAACCTTCCTAAAGCTCCTTGTTTATATGTGTGTGAGAACATAAAATACGTGCCTCCATAGTCTCAGAGTGGCCATGTGGAGAGAGAAGGGGCTATACCTAAGAACTTGTATGTGTATCATCAGCATTGTATAGGATATTGAATTTCCTCAGGAGTATTCATTATTCCTTGAGGATCTGTGAATAATATGTAGGTATAGATAGCCAGTAGAGTAAGTTTTTGAAGGACTTTGAGATCCTATTTTGCAACTTCTATTCACAGTTTTCATTCATGTATGTGTATTCCCAACATTGCTATAAAATTTTGCATTTCTATAGCTCAACTGGGTCTTATGTTAAAATTTACTCGTTGGAAGTAGGAATATAGAATTTGTAACAGATTAGTACTTACAGTAACTATAATAATAGTTGAATAAAATCAGTAAGAAATTTTAATCTGCACATTTTGAAGGTCAAAGTAAGGGTTGGTCTTCAAATAACATATAATACCATTATCATAATGTCACTATTTTTGCACATTTTGGGTTGTCCTCCATGCTATTCCTTATGTTCCACAAATAAGTGAAACCATATGATAATTGACTTTCTCTGCTTGACTTATTTCACTTAGCATAATCTCCTCCAGT